CATAATATTTCAATAATTAGGCTTATCTGCTCCATTTCGAAGCGCGCACAAAAGTCGTTTGAAAGGTATGCAAAGAGAACGAAAAACGTGCGATAACGGGAGACGGGAATGGGAAAACTCAGCTTTTAAACATTTAGTCCGCACCATGGGTGTCATTTCCATCAACGTGCTGCTCTGGTTCCTGTTGCGATTACAAAACTGAAAAGGAAACACAGAGCCACCCCACAAAAAGACGACCCAGGCGGAATTAAAAAAATTACCTCTTTTCAGATAAACTGAGTTCTGTTTAGGTAACAATCCCGAAGAGAAGTCCCTGCACTTGCGCAATTACCGCGCAACTTCAAAAGGGGAGTTGTGCACGGAGAGAAAGATGTCAAAAAATAGATCTTTTGTCAAATATTTTGTGACTATTTTCGATAATTTATATTCTAATTATTCCTGCAAACGTACCTATTTAAATAATGTTACTCTTCGCTATTTATGAACTGCCAAAATACTCACTTCTTAAATATTATAACGGATTTACTCCCCCAAAATTAAAAAATTAATTCGATGTTTAGGCATCAAAAGCGTAATTTGAACGTATTTTATTTTTTAACACGGTGATATATATTTTTCAAACTTAAGAACATTCAACTTTAATAAAGTTTTTTTAATTTTCCTAATTTATTGATCAAATAATATTTAAAGTGTTTCAATTTGAATCCATATTTTGTTTTACTTTTTATATATATTTTTCCCCCCATTTTTTATTGTGTATAACGAATCCTGTTTGGATTGGCCGTGAAAGGAGTTTTTGGTTCTCACGACCGTCTGGAATGGTCACTGGAAGTCCTTGGATCTGATTCCCGCTGGAATGAAAGCGGTCCAAACTTGTTGTTGGTGAACTGCAGCATCTTTCCCTTCCCTTCACCCCTTCCCCCTCTCTCAACCCTAATAATTGGCATTATTAGCTCACTCCCCACTGGATTCCTATCTTCCTCTTCTTCCTGTTGTTGTTGTCGTTTCATGAGCACCCTTGAAGGATACTTACGGTGCACTTTCGACTGGAAAATATCGCAGGGCGTCTTAAATGCAATCGTTTGTTTGATTTTTTTCGGCCGATGATGCTGCAGACAATTAAGCGCTGTTCTTATTGTTGTTGTTTCCTCCCCTGCTTCCCAACGCTTGCTTGCTGTTTTTGTTGTAGCTGTTGTTGGTTTTGCTCTAGCATTGCATTTCCAGGCGGCAAAAGCGCACACAAAGAGGAGCGGAGCGGGTGTGTGTGTGGGGTGTATTCTCCCGTTATCCCCCTCTTGTTTCTCTCTATCTCTCTCTTTATCACTCCTGCTTTCGTGTGCTTTACTTTGCTTTTGCTTTGCTTTGCTTTGTTCAAATTCAAACAAACTACCCTGAAGAACCGTTGATCCTGACTTGGCTGCCTTGTTGTTTTTGTTGTTGTTTTGTTTTCTGTTATGTTATACACTCACAGACACGCACACACACGCACACACGGCAGCAGACAGACGCTTAATTTTCCCCGTTTTCCTCGGGAAATCGCATAAAATTATTCGCGGATTTTCGCACCGAATTCGACACTTTTCCTCGCTCGCATTTTCGGCAATTCCAATTGTGTCGCGCACTATTTTTTTCCACCCGGCCCGGACAACCGTTAGAAGTTTGGCGCTGCAACCGCTGTTTTCGCCCCGCCTACGACTGATTTTCCGAGCGCATTTTCCTTCGCTGCGAGAGGGCTTTCTTATGGACGACAAACAAAAAACCGAAAAAACAACCGCGACCGATTCGTTCGAGTGTCTGGGTCAGTGTGGCCTTTTTCCGAGAGCTGGAAAATGGCATCGTCTGCAGAAATCGTCTGGGAAGCAGAAATGTGGATTTTCGACACACTTCCAGCTGGTCACACTCACTCCAGAAGGCGCTAAAAATGTTAACCGATTCATTGAAACGGAAATGTTAAGTACAATTGTAAGGGCTAAAATCTGAAAATCGAAACAGTAAAATAAATTAAGGTAATATGATAATAGTTGGCCAGTACTTAAAGCAGTAAGAACTCTTGCTTGTTTTGTGTAGGGTCGCGACTTGAATTTCTTGAAATGTAAGCTAAAATCTGACCTCTACTACATAGGTAGCAAAAAAATGTTAACAGAACAATTTTTAACGGTTATGGAAAAGTAAGGTTAGTAAATAACGATAAACAGGTCAATTTTCCCGATTTACACTGAAGTAAAATCCCTGTTGTTGAATTTAATAAACCTATTCATAACGATGTCTTTCAGTTTATCATACCGAATAGTAAATGTCCCATATTCTTTAAAGGAACATACAGAATTGGTTCTTTATTTTCGCTTATAATGACAAAATACTGTTTTTTTAATATTTAATATGCGCAAAATCGACTTTAATAAAAAAATATCTTTAAATCTGGAGCCTCGATAGATATTTACAATAAATTTTTAGAGTTATTTAGCATGGTATCTATACAATTAAAACCGGTGGCCGAAATTTTAATTATACAATAAATCTAAAATTGAAATTGAAATTAAATAAAAGGGATGACAAAACTTTAGGAAACCAAAAGAGTGGTTCTCAGTAACAACTAATATAAACAAATTTTATTTGCGGGAATGTATCCACTAATTAATAATTTTTGTAAGCAAATCACAAGCAGCTAGCACATTTTTAGGCGGGTAAGCTTTTCGAAAAATATTTATAAGAGACGGTACAATCCAATATCCAATTGAAAACAATCAACTTGCGTACTATGCTATTATTCAATATAACAATTAAGGTATTTATTTGTTCACGTTGTTGAGCTTGGTGCAGTAGAATATAAAAGTCATCGTCAGCATTATCACACAAGTCCACAGCTTAAGGAAATCAACGAATTAGGTGCATATACAATAGAAAAACAACTAAAGGGCTTTGTACAGTAAAGCAATACCGAAGCAAACAAAATAGGCGATACAGAGAGCACCACTAAAGCTAGTCCTTCCATTCCACACTGAGTTTAATGTCCGATTTGGGCATCAGCAGCAGTCTGCGGTTGTCGTAAGCCATGGGAATCGTGGTCTCCGCACAGGGGGCATATCTGTGCTCCTTCAGCAGAGCCACCAGACCCACCAGCAGCTGCTGCTCAGCGAACCGAGCGGCAATGCATCCTCGCAGGCCATTTCCGAAGGGCAGGAAGGAAGCCTGCGGCCGGGATAACTTGGCCTCTTCCTCGAACCGATCCGGATCGAAGCGCTCGGGATCTGGGTATATCTCCGGATCCCTGTGTATAGCTGCCGTGGGTATCAGCACATTGTTGCCTCTGGCAATGACGAACACCGATCCGGGCAGCTCGAATTCTTTGGTAGCACGGCGCAGCAGGAAGGGATGTGGCGTGTGCAGACGGAGCGTTTCTGTGAAGGAAGGAAGGACGGTTAGAATGTGCTCTTTCAAGAATATTTATCTACTTTCTTCAAAAATAGAATTCAATATATTATACAAGCGATCAAGTTTATTAACCCGGGCTATAAAAAAATCATATTATGATATGTGTGTATTTAAAGACTATTAAAATGGCACAGTTTAATACCCTTGCCTATTTTATTTAACCAAGGGTATTAAACTTTATTGTTTGTTTACTTTAATGTTTTCCATTATTTAAAATATATATGTTATTCTATATGGTATGGTAATTAAATTTTGATTTATGATGAGTTTTTAATATTTTAAACTGTCCCTGTGCTTTTGGACTCACCGTTTAGGACTTGCTTCGTAAACCGCAGGTCCCTTAGGAACTCGGGCGTCACCTGGCCACCATACTGAACCAGTGTCTTTTTAATTTCGCGTCGAGTTCGATCCTGCAGCTCCGGATGGCGCGCCAACTCGTAGAGGCAGAAGCCCAGGGTGGCGTTTAGGGGGCCCAAGCCCGCTAGTAGGAAGCCAAATGCCTGGGCCGCAATCTCGTCGTCGCCCAGCGGCTGATCCGCGTTGGAGTACAGCTGCAGGAACGTCTGCAGGGGCTGGCGATCCCTCCGCCGCTGCTCCTGCAACTGCGACAGGGCCACTTTTTGGAAGTAAGCCATAGCTGGCTCAGCGTAGCTTTTGTACCTTATCAGCTGAGCGATGAGCGGAAACTCCAGCGCCAGGTACGCCTGCCACAGCTTAAAGTTTGCCCAGTAGCTACTCGACCACTTGGCAAACTCTTGGTGATCCCGGCCTCCCAGTCCAAAGGCCATAGAGGCCATCACATCCACGTTGTAGGCACCCACCAGCTCGCTTATGTTGCATGTTTGCTGGTCAATTTTGCCCAGATCGCTCTGAATTCTGGTGGAGATCTGCGCCAGCCTGGGTAACAGCTTTTGCATGTTGGTCCGTGCGAAAACCTCTGCGGATTTGGCGTGGAGTGTTCGCCATTTGTTACCATCCAGCTGAAGTAGATTAGCCGACAGCGGCTCTCCGCCGGAATTACTGTAGAGACCGCGCGAAGTAAAGTGCCCCGCATCGGTGAAGATGATTTGGTGGACTAGCTTTAGGTCGAGCACAAGGATGAAGGGCTTGAGACAGGCGTAGAAGCCCACAAAAGGTGCTCTGCCCTTGTAGCTAGAGTAGATGTCCAGCAGGGCGTCCTGGGCATGGCGCTTGCCGCCCACTACGCCCTTGATGTTGCCCCACAGGAACTTGGGCTTCTCGTGCAGGATCCCCCGTCGCTTCCAGTAGCCCAGGCTGATCTTGACCAGGGCGTAGAACACGGACAGTGCACCCAGGGCGGTGAGCAGGGCTCGGTGCATCAGCTCCATGCTGGCACAGCTGTCTTTTTAGGCCTCCTAATGATTTATTCAAACGGTTTGCTGTGTTAACAGCTGGCAGTTGCTGCTCGTAGAGGTTTTTGGGGCTGCTCAGAGCCGCAAGCTTATCAGCGCCATTATCGATCGGTTGGATTTAATAATTGATAGTGTCCAATGAGCAGCGGCCGCTAAAATGGAAGAGAAACGTGGCTATAAGGCAAACATTCTATATGTGTAATGGGTAATCAAGGTGCTGAGCGGGTTTTATTGCCGAAATATGTACGGAGAGAGTAGCCTCTACGGCTGCAAAATTAGGCAAAGGTTGTACGTGCTGGCGGGGAACTCGTCGACTGGCACCCAACGGACGAAGCCCTGATCGATTAACTGCTGCCCGGAGCTGGGCACGCCCACGAAATGGGGATCCTAAATGGGAGAGCAAGCGATGAGTTCACTAGTAGATGGAATGAGGTAACTCGCTGACTCACCACCACCTGCAAGAAGACGCGGTCCTCGGCACTGCGATGATAGCCCGTGATGGCCTTGGAGGATGTGTCGCTCAGTCCACCCATGGCTATGAAGCCCTGGTACTTCTCGAAATAGCTGCGAATCTGGCCGAGGATCTCCGGCGAGCTCAGCTCCCTGGCGTGCACAATCTTGCAGGGCAGCTGGTGCAGCACATCAATCACATAGAACTCTTCCAGCGTGCCGATCCAGTCTCGTGAGCCCTGGAACTTCGGTCCCTTGTCGCCCAGGGCCACGAGGATCTGCTGAATCTCCCAGATGGAGGGCACATGGTCACCACAGCCACGTCGCCGGTGGATCCAGGATATGGCCGATTGCAGAGTGCGGTAGCCACAGCCCCAGCCCGCATCCTGATGGCCATCGCATCCGTAGCGGAAATAGGTGAAGCCACCGCGGGTCGTTAGGGTCTCTCCGCCCTCAGTGGGCGGGGCCAGGATGGTATGTGGATCCTCCAGGAGCGGGTATTCATAGTCCTTTGGCGCAATTTTCAAGGACGCCAGAGTGGAATCTCCCACATCCGCATCACAGTTTTCCGAAGCCATTTGTTTTGTAACTTTGAAATTTGATAGCCTACGCCTGCTGCACTCCACCTGTTCCTTTATTGTTTATTTACCTTGCGCAGCCGTAATTTGTTTTGTGAAAGTGAAATCGTAGCAGAGAAATTGGAATGTTTTTTTTTGGCCCAGGCTAGAGATGGTACAAACTGAAAAGTCATGCACCAATAACAAAGGCAGCCAAAGCAAAACATTTAAAAATTATTAATATTAAAATTTAATGTAAATAAGAAAGTAACGAAATATTAAGGTCTTAATCATATATTTTAGCACAATTTTTTTTTAATTTTAATTATTATGGTTTCCTTAAGCAGTCCATCTCTAATCCTCCTATCGACTTATCGATAACAGTCTGCCTTTGGCGCCATCCTTCAGAAAATTCAAACACCTCTATTCGCTTTTTTCTTATTTCTCATGCATTTCAAATTTTATTTGAATTATTAAATGTACATTATTGTTTTTAGAGTTCATAAATATGTTTTCTGGTGTGTACGCGTGTATGTGTGGGTGTTTCAACGTTTTATATATTAACACCATCTCTCTTGAATTGTGCTCTTTTAATTAATAGTTTTTAGTGACCAAACATTAGTACATCGTATTTAATAATTGGTAAAATTTGTAGCTTTGTAAAACTTGCGTATTTGCATACTGAGTTTCAACTATTTTCGGATTGCTGATTGTTACTGAGTTGCAGTTTTGTTAATGTTTAAAAGTTAGCTTAAAATGCTGAGTTGTACAATAAATAGATGATGTTTGCAATGTGTGTGTGTCTGTGCACCAATTAAAATACCTAAATTACATTGTGCGCTTAAATGATTGGTTATCGTTTCGTTTTTGGTGTGTGCCAGCAACGGTTTAAAAGGGTTCGATTAAAAATTATAAGTACAATACGTAAAATACATTTATTAAATATATTTAGCGATATCACCACGATTTGTTGTTATTGTGCTCTTAAAAATCATGTAACAGAAAAGATTAATATGCTAAATTATTAATATTATTATATTTATACGTATATGTTATGTATATTATAAATATTTATACGATTTGTGGTTCTCCCCCCTCTCTATCGGATCCTCCTCATAAATGCAGTCAAAATACGCTTGCGTCTAAAAAATACATTCCGCTCATCTCGTGTTCGCGTGTTGAAGTGTGCTTAATTTCTGGGGCTGCACGTTCGTCTTACCAAACTACAGTCAAGTCTACATCTGAATCGTTGCTCTGGGGTGAAAACTACTATTTCCTCCGGTTTTGAGTGTGTGTTGTGTGTGGATAAGGGTGGGTTGATTTTTAAAAAACACGGAACAATAGGAGCGAAACGTTATCTTTGGCAATTTTGGGTAATACAACATTAGTTCTGAATCTCCAGAGTTTTTACAATTCAATAAAAATTGCTCTAAAAGTTAAAAGTTACGATTTTAGACCTACACAAGTACCGGGGTTTCTTTTGGTTTATATAACAAAGCCTTCTTGCTTTCGACCTGCAGTAGCTATAGGGAAATAGCAAAGCATTGTCCAAAGATAATTGTTCGCCCCTAAGGTGTTTGTGCTTTTCTGCAACCATACAAATCGACCCATCCTACTGTGAGGCAACCTGCGGTGCTGGGATAAATGCAATGCCACGCCCCCGTTTCCCTTACAAGGTGCAGTATTCGGTGAGAATGGGTATAGACTTCAGCAGTTCGTTGATGTTGTGCTGCTCCAGATGCGCCACCAGCTGCTCGGAAGACTTGAGAAGGTTGACGCAGTTCTGGAGGTTCTCGACTATCTCCTTGGTCATGGTGTCCGACGACTTGCTGATGAGCTCGGCCAGCTTCTTGCCCACCTCGCACTTGACCAGCTCGTCCTGCAGCCGCTGAGCCTGCGCCGCCTCGTTCGCCTGCGACAGGTAGACCACGGACAGGATGCACAGGGCAATCAGCGCTTCGTTCTGCATCACCAGGTGCTGGGCAGTGAGCATGCTGACCATGGCCTCCACGGTGCCCTCGTTGGCGAGGAACTCGCTCAGGCTACTGCGATCGTAGTCCTGTGTGAGCGGAATCCTATCGGCAATCTGTTCGGCGGGTGCGTCGCCCTTGCGCGGCAGAGCGTAGGCGATCTTGCTGAGGTAGGCGTGCTTAATTAGCCAGGCCATGAGACGCAGCGACTCCCCGGTGACGCCCGCATAGTCTGATGATTTGCTCCAGTGCACCAGCTGCTCGATCAGCGTCTTGTTCTTCAGCAGCTCCAAGGCGAGTTTCTCTGAAAAAACAGATGTTGCTAGAGAGGCGGATCGCGTGCGGTTTTTGCTACTACTCACCCTGCCCGTCGACCGTCATGCGAAGCGTGCCCAGCAGCTTGAAGACGACTGGTGGCTGATGGATCTCCAACATCGGCAAGATGGTCTGCACCAGGCCCGCCTGGATCACTGCGTTCTTGTTCGGCTTCGGGATAACCAGGTTGCGCAAAGCGGAGAGGAGAGCATGCTGCAGACGCACATCGTCCTTGACGCCGTTGTTTTTGGCCAGAACTTCGAGCAGCTTGTTCATGGTCTGCTGCTCCACAAAGTAGATGCAGTGGCTATCGGTGCGCGCAAAGTTGCCCAGGGCCAGCACGCCGGTGGTCAGTAGATCAATGTCAGTCGAGTCCAGCCAGTCGACCATGTTCTTCAGCAGGGGGGTCGTATACAGATAGTGCATTGATTCGTCTGGAAAAATCATGAATTAATCAGTTACTGTTGCTTATACAGCTATATAGAAACGTACCACCAGTGAGGATTAATACGATGAGCTCGCAGGCTAGCTTCATTAGCGCCCTGGCCTCACTTGTGCTGGCCAGAGTCTTGTACTTCTCCAGCAGGTTGTAGATGGTCTCGCACAGACCGTCCTTGGCCAAAATCAGCTTGACCTCATCGCTCTCCGCCTGGTAGTGCAGCAGCTCCAGGCACATCTCGGCCAGATCGGGATTTGTGGAAGCGGCCAGAATGCGCGACAGTTGAATGTTCAGTGAGGAATCGAAGTTCAGATCTGCCACGTTCTCGGTGAGTATGCTAAGCAAAGGAAGCGTGTTCAGCAGCAGATCCTCGTGCTGTTCCACATTGGCCGCTCCAGAATCGATGATGCCCTGCAGCTTCTTCATCACGCCCAGCTCCATGGCCCGCTTGGCCAGGCCCTCGCCTCCAAGCAGATAGTTGGACAGCAGGCCACCCCGCACCTTGATGAACTGCGCCGCATTGGCCTCGTCCTCAATGGTTGCGATGTCCAGCAGACGCAGCAGGACAGCATCGCCCTCTAGCTCCAGGATTAGATCCCTGGCCTCGTCGTTCAAGTAGCAGATGTTCCCCAGAGCCCGACATATCTGTATGGGCAGCTCCATGCTGCCATCAGGCGTCGGCACGTGACGCAGGCACTCGAGAAAGGCGGCGATTATGTCGCGCTTGGTGAACTTCTTGCGCTGCACCTCCGACTTGGTGATCTCCGCGATGCACTTAGCCGCCTCCTTTCGCACATTGGTGTCTTCGCACTTGGTCAGGCCCAGGAAGCAATCGGCCAGCTCATGCTTGTCGAACAGTTTGGGATCCTTGGTGGCCGAGATCTCACAGAGTAGATCTGTCGTGTTCGCCGAACTGACGCTGGTCGTCTTTAGCTTCTCGATGAGCTCGTCGATTTCGGCTGGGGAGAAGAAAAATTATTGGTAATGGTTACTAGTTTGCTGGTACTAATGAAGGTTAGGGCTTTTCTCGAATATATATCGTTGGCTAGCTGAGAATAAAGAGACGGTTGGATATCCGTGTTTATACCCATTACTCGTGTCGTAAGAGGGTATATTAGTTTCGTCGGAAAGTATGTAACAGATAGAAGGGATCGTTTCCGAAAAGTATATAAATTCTTTATCAGGATCTCTAGCCGAGTCCGACTTTCTGTCCGTCTGTATGACACTGACATATCGAAAATATTTTGTAAACATCTAAATGGGATTTGGTTTTGATTATCAATATCCATCTACAAGCCAAAAATTGTTCAAATCGGACAACCCATTTAAAAGTTATTAGAAAATCAAGGATTCGACAAGGCCTTGTAAATTAAGTCCTTGTCTATAGAAATTTTACAAAATGTGTTTATTTTTTTCACATTAACACGCAGTTTAAACTTTATTTTAATAAACAAACATTTAAACACCTCAATTTATAGGAAAGAAAAATTTAAAAATGATCATAAAAGTTGTCTAAGTTAATCCTAAGTTAATTAATATTATTAATATTTTTGTTTTTTGGATACAGTTGAGTAATGAACTTTCATGATAGGTCCCACCACTCTGAATCCCAATTTATAAGAACCATTTATAGATATGTATTCTAAACCGTTCCGTTTCAAGGAACACGCAATCCACCTTCCTTTCTCTCCGCTGTCACTGAGCACCGCAAAATTGATTGCCAATTTCGATTATCGTCGTTGGCTGGACGGACTCAAGACAAATGGTCTCAAAGCCAGTTTTTGGGTCCGCGTCGTGGCAGAAAAAAAATACTTGCTTTATTTTGAGAATAGAAAGGTTTTTCGTGCTTTTGCATCTGTAGTTCAATTCGTCTTTGAATCATTAGGATCTACTTTGTGGAAATGCTCAAGAAAACTCGCGAAGCGTGTGGCACATTAAAGGTTAATTTTCCTTACAAACAGATGGCTGGGATTTTAAAAGGAACCAGAATGGGCGACGATTTACATAAGTCCTGGCCATGGACAAATGAAAAGAAAAACGCGAAAGCAATCGGGATTTAATGTACTGTAATGATAAAAGTTAAACACGCCGCGGAAAATACAGAATGTTTTTAATACTCATTCAATCAAGTAACATAAACACTTTGAATTTAGGTCTCACTTAAAATGTGTTGCATAAGGAATTTGTTTATCACCTGTTTTCGGATTCTTTAAAACCCTTATTTAAATAAGACTTAAGAAAAGTTCCATTTTACTACAATTTCTATTCCTTTTTTCTGCCCAACAAAGGTACCTGCAATCATTTGACTTTAATTTACATTTGTTATCTTCTGCTTTAAGCCAGGGACCTAGAGTCCCGTCGTGTTATGGCCAACATTATCACAATATTATTATTTCAGACGGACCCTTTTTGCCGCCAAGCACACATGCTGAAAAATACATTCCGATAAGGCACTCCCGCAGGACGAAGGACGAAGGGCAAGGACCAGACTCCGGCACTCGACAACTGGCGACAGTTGGTGGCAAAAGCCACATCGAGTGGACGGGGGCTGGCATTTCAACAAACTTTGTGGAGCATAAATAATGAATAAGTGAAACAAAAAGCAGAAAGAACCCTTCAACAGGGCGGCAACCATCATTCGTCATCATCATCATCATCATCCACATCATCAGCGGTGGCGGTATTATCCACGATTTGGCATAGAAACAGCAACAAAGGTTGCAACTTGCAACAGCAGCAGGCAAAACAACCTGCACAAGAGCAATAGCAACAACGGCGAACTAACTCGCAGACAAGTTGCACTTAGAAATGTAACCCCAACTCTAGAGAATACAAGTGGAAACTTAGCGATCGAGTGTTTCGACTTTGAGATACCATATAATTATTACTATAGAGAATACAAGTGGAAACTGAGCGATAGTGGGTTGCGACTTTGAGATACTGTGTTATTAACGAGATACCATGGTCATCATTATCATCTTTTAATCTATTTCCTAGGTACACTACTTCCTAATGAAAATAAATTACTTTTTTAAAATTCCTTTCTTTTAGCTGAAATGTAAGAGCTTTAAATTTCAATGATTAATGGATGGGTTTATCTTTTTAGCTTAGAGTCTGTAGATTCTGTGATGTTTTATAATATAGATGGTTTTATAAGAGAATCAATGTTTTCCAATCAGTTCGTATACAGTGTTTATTTTTTTTGGGTTTTTACTTAAAATCTTTTTTAAAAAGGTTATGTTAAAGAAGTTTTTGATCTAAAAATGTTTATCTACAAAATCTTAAACGCTACTATTGAAGAACTAAAGATACATGTGAGATATTATACCATTAAATATTTTTAAATGATATGCCAATGTGTAGATAATGATACTTTATCACAGAGTAACATTTTTTAAACATCGTAATGTGAATTATTTAGCAGGTTGTACACCTTAGGTTTTCATATACCCCTAGAACCCTAGGGAAAACAGGGTAAATGTGTATAGGATGCATCTGCATATTCAGGTAAAGGGGAATTGTTGCATTTGTTTGTCCCGCCGCAGCTGACTGAATGCAATTGGACAGGTGGCAGAGTCGCGTCGTCCGTCGGAGTGGCAGGTTGACGAGGGCGAGGGTTGAGGGATGCAGGAGAGGACAGGTGCAGTGGCAGTGGCAGTGGTAGCGTCACTTCCGTCCGTCGGAGCTGCTGGCAGGAGGAGCTCCTTTAATGCGTCTCGGTTGCTGCCTCACCGCCTTTTGCGTGCCTCCTCCGAATGTTTGCTTTGGTAACTGGCACTCGTTGGTATTCAGACTATGCCATTCGTCCAGCCATTCGTCCATCCATCCAGCCATCCATCCAACCATCCATCCATCTATCCATCCAATCCGTTCGAGTTCCGTGGCAAGTTCGTTAGCTTTTCGTTGCGGAAGCGAGCTTCGTTCGAGGCATTTATTCGCTTCAATTTCTGGGGCAATTGCTTTATTTTATTTTCGTATTTTCCTTATTTTTCGGTTGGTTTGGGGATGGGGACTTTGGCCTGCGTTTTATTTCCAGTCGTTGTGGTATTTTGTTTTCTCCATTAAACGATTCACCGACTTTGGCCACATACAAAAATAGCAAACGGCACAAAAATGAGAGAAACTAGTGCAAAACTTATTGTTGTTGCATGTTTAATTCATGTGCAATTTGTGTTGTAGATGTCGGTCTCAGTTGTATTGTCGCTTTTTGGGCCTGCTGCCACAAAAAAAAAGTTTGCCAAAAGTGGGTTAAGTAAGAGCCAGAGGCTTGGCACCGAAAATGGGAGTCATGGGAACCATGGAACTCAATGTAATGAATATTTTTTGCATGGCCAACTAGGTGATGTAAGGAAAAGGTCGTAAATATTAATGGGTTTGCGATTGGGACGGGAATAAAATCAAAAATCAACTACTAAATGAAAGAGGAAGATAAACCATAGAAATCTAAAACAAAAACCTAAATTCGGAAATAGAAGTTTGATACATACAGCTGCGGCAACAAAAATAGCACCAGTGTGTAGGCAATTCTTCTTTGTGCTACAGAATGGTAATTTTTTGCAATATCTTTATTCTGTTTGTAAGGGTAAGTAGGGTTACATATCTATTAACTAAAATAAAAGTGGTTACGCCCACAATGCGGATGGTTTTTAAAATTTCGATACATTTATCAAAAAAGTAGCAAAGTTATGCGGCAACAAAAATAGCACCACTTAAATAAAAAACTTAAAAAACTTAAAAATAACGCGATTTGAAAATTTTTTTTGATTGAAATGTATGATTTCATACACCTTAAGGTAAAAAAATATTGTTCTAAAGCTTGGGCTGCAACAACAACAACAACAACGACCGACCTTGACGTCACTAGACACCAGAATCTTCCCTTGGCAAAATTGTTGTCTGGCTCTTTCAAAATAGCTCGAGGGCAGTTTTTTTTCTTCGGTTTTGCATTAAAAACATAGTTTTTAACATTTCTGCAAAGATTTTCGATGTGTTTTAGTTCTGGGGCTTGTAAGGTCCCCATTATACCATTTAGCTTAAGGGTTTTAAAACTTTGTACGACTTTCTGACTGATTTTTTTTGGGTTATAACCGTGGTAAAGCTTCGGAAATAAATTAGTTTTGTATTACGAATAAAATTGCATCACAATTTCTGAGCTATCAAGGTGAACATGTTGATCCTGTATGGGTTTACATTATGATATGGTACCAACATTATAGTACGAGAATATGCCCATACCATTATACTTGCTTCACCATTATTATTCCTTGCAAATGTGAAATGGGGACTCAATTTTGGATATGTAGGTTACCTGATGTGAATTTAAAGTCTTTTTCATCTAAACATGAGCAATTTTCAGCCGCCAGACCATATAAGAGTGTTCCTTTTATTGTGGGCCTTATTTAAAACTCGCCCTTCAAATTCACCCATGCTCTGCAGTCTAGGGAGATTTTTTTTTTGGACGTCAAGCGCATAATTGATTTTTATGTACATTATATCCAACTTTTTATGTACTTACAAATATTAAAAAAAAAAAAGCGACTTGATAGGCGCCTAAAACGGGACCTACTTGCATTCATGCAAATGACTTTTTAACAGTTATGGGGTCATTGCGGCTTTCGTACTGCGTGCTATTCTTTTGTGTTCTTGTTTTAGGAACCTACTAATCATTATTTTAAAGAATTCAACGATTCAACTTAACTTATCTTTTGCATTGCCTTTATAAATTAGCTTTTTAAATGTCCTTCTATCTGTATCATTACAGCGCGCTAAATGACCCATTGGGAACACTATTTTATGCATTATTTTACCAATTCACTTAGTAGTACTTATTCTTAATACAACAAAACGAAAAACAGCCAACAAATCTGAGCAAATGAAGTTTTATACCCAAAAACCGTTAATAGTGCTATTTTTGTTGCCGCATAATTATGCTACTTTTTTCATAAATCTATCGAAGTTTTAAAAACCATTCGCATTACGCCCACAACCATTTTTACTTTAGTTAAACGATATGTAAACCTACTTACCCTTACACACAGAAGAAAAATATTGCAAAAAATGACCATTTTGTACACAAATAAAAATTGCCCACACTTTGGTGCTATTTTTGTTGCCGCAACTGTATGAAAAAAGGGCATAAAAAATAGTTAATCTAAACAACCTCTTACAATTTTAGAAACTATTCCTTTATTTTCACAACAAACTAGTCCTTATGCGTAGCACTTAAAAAACTTGTCTAAAAATCCATCCGCCTAGTCTTCCTCCCTCGATGAGCGATTCTCCAGCAGCAGTGGATTGTGTCCAGACTTTCCCAGCTGGAGCAGCGCCTGGCAGGCAGGAGTGGGCATCTGGCTGACATGCTGCAGCAGCTTCTGGTTATTTCCCTGCCTTGCCCTGAGAAGCAGAGTTTCCCCTGAAAGGAAGAGTCATTTAAGATCCCTGGTACTCCGCAGAATTCTGACCAAACTCACGCAAACTTCGCTCTTGCTTGCAGTTCTGCTTGAGATCCGATATGTATACCTCCTCGATTTCTATTTCCAGCTTGGCCAACTGCTGCTCGGTGTATTTCTCCAGATTCTTCGGGCTCATATAGTAGGCTATATGGTTCGTCTGACTGACGCGACGAAAACTGTGGGTTCTGAAGAAGATTGGGGCTTGGTATTTGGTGGCCTCAGCACCCGATTGATCCCGGAACTCACCTGGTTGGTTTGAAACTGTAGGCAGGTGCGGCAGCTATACAGTGCATGGTGATGAAGAGGAAAACCAGAGCAGCCACCACTCCGATGACGAGTTGCTCGGTTTGGTAGAGGGATTGCCGCTGAGGCATCCTCTGATTGGCTGCCTGGTAGGGTCTTCGATGGGAGGCGGCCTGATCCTCGCCAGCATTTTCCCATCCAGCCTCGTAATCCTCGTGCTCCGTGTGATTGCAGTCGCCCACTGCCGTTGCTATATTGTACTCAATCCGCTTCTGGCAGTCCGTGAGACAGTCGGCCGCCTCGCTGATCCGCCGGAAGGCCTTTTCGGCGCCGGGGGATCGGTTCTTGTCGGGATGCAGGCGCAGGGCCAACTTGTGGTAGGCCCGCTTCACCTCCGAGTAGGTGGCGTGGTGCGAGACGCGCAGCACCTCGTAGTGGTTGCGGCAACGCAGCACCTTCTGCACCACGTCCAGCATCTCGAGGGTGAATCCGTGTGGCATGGCGTCCGACTGGCGGGTGGGTCCGATCGTCCTTTGGGCCTCGCCCTTCAGGCGCAGTCGCACCACGATGTTCTTCAGCTCCAGCAGGGCCAGGATCTCCTCGTGCTCCTGCTCACCCTCCAATCCCTCGTTGATCCGCCGCAGAGCCTGCTCGTACTCGCCCAGGCACAGGTCACTCACCACTTGGTCGACGCACTGCCTCCTCGGCTGAGGGATTCCCACTGTGGAGGCGTCCTTCTTCGGTTCCGGCATCCTTTTTCCTCCTTTCCTCCCAGCAGCGTGAGTAGACAAAAAGTATTCGTTTTTCTTTGTTCGTTTGCAAACTTTTAATTTTGGTTGGTTGTTTGGGGAACAATACAATACAGTGGTGACCAAAGTGGTATCAAACATAAATGATTGTTTGTTCGAGTGTACTGTGACAGCCATAAACTTAAATACAAATTTTGTTTGTCACCCCATTTTGAACAGTTGGGAAAAGTCAACTAACTTCGGATTGTATAAACAACAGAAGGTAGTTATTATACTTCGGAAGTTATTATAATCGTATTATGTATCTAAAAGTGAATTTAGCATAAAACGACATTAACATGAATAAGGTAAGGATTTCGGATTTTGTATAATCCTTTTCCAAACATTATATGCAAATACAAGTTTCGGTAAATATAATTATATATATAACATATGAAGTATGTATATTATGCATACCCCGAATTTTTCAGCAGACTTGTCAGCTTATCATATTACATAATACTTTTATTCTGAACTCGTAACTGAATAAGCTAGGAACGGAATGCCCATTTTATTTGCTTTCGTTTTAAATTCCCAGCAGATAAACTGAAATTTCCCACACAAGTTGTTCAGTTGAAAGGCCACTTAAAGCAAGTTCCCCATAAAAGGCAGCACTCTTCTGGCCCGAAGAAGTATGCTTCACAACTTGTCATGGGGACATAACCTTCTCGAAAAGACTCGAAAGTTAATTGAAATTAATTTCTATGCCAATTTGAATAGGGCACGAACTCAATTAAAACAGAGCTCGCCACCCCCAAAATTTCATCTTCTCAAGGCCATTAGAAGGGCCAAAATCTTATTAGCAGTAAAAAGAATAAAGCGAGTGGAAGGGATGGAGATGGGAATGGAGATTTAGAAGGGAAATCACGAGTCGCACAGCAAATGAAGCAACGTCGCCAGAATACCCAAAAAAGGAGGTGGAAAAGGGCAATAAATTCTACCCAGGGTAAACTATGTACAATAACAGCCAGCTAATCTGGGTAAGCTGCGTGGAACGAATGAAAAAAGCCCAAAATAATAATAATAACAATAAAGAGGCAGCTACAGAAGCTGCCTGTTTGGGCCACTGATATCGGGCCTTATCAGAATCTGGGCTTTTTGGGGTTGATGGAAGCCACGGGCGCAAGGACGACAGTCAAATCGTGTCGAAGAAGCCGGGCGAAAGCGTCGACAGAATGCAGTCACAAAGGACCAATTAAAGTCCAAAGTGACTGAGCCACGGGGAGGACTTGGCAAACAGCCCGCAGCTGGGAGCTGCACAGAAAGGAAACTTTCTAGAACTTGTGCAGAAGTTATATAATATGGTATTCTATCATATGCAAAACCATCGAAGTAAGTTAGGATATTTGATCGTATACATCACCTGCTGGCCCATAAAGGTAGGATTTAACGGTCTTCCAGAACATTTCAATATATCACACAGTAAGGTTTTACCAAATATAATAGTTAGAGAGAGAGTTACTTGCACTTTGCTGCTTTCGAATATTAGTAATGATGAACTAAGGAGAGTTTAGAAACCCAGACTACTATGTTTAAAGAATTTGTATCGTTTGCTTTTATAGTACTTAACATCTGGGTTCATCGTACTCCAGAACAGGGTCATAAAAGTGTGTACTATCCCATTGCAGGAAATAAAAAAGTTTGATTGTTTTCAGTGTGGCAATGGGTTTCGCTACGATGCGCGCAGCTGGTGGGTTACGTGGGCAACTGAGGGATAGAGTGGAGTGGGGCCTGGGATGCACCACCGCTCCAGAAAGGGGGAAGTTCCTAAGGCCGGGATTGCCAGCACGTTCAAGAGCTGCTTGTTGTCGCTCTGCACAGGTTCCCCCTCGGGAAAGGGTATGCAAACAGTACAGTCCGTGAGCGGTGTGTGTTTATGTGTTGATCCAATGCAGTGACAGTTGAAAACTGAGAAGTTTAGAGACTTGTTTACGTTCAGCAATTCTCATCGGTGACTGACCTAAATATACAAAACCTACGTATACATATATATACGTAAACATACCATGGTTTAAGTAAAACATTATACAAATGTTCTTGAATTCGTGTCAAAATAGCTAGTGCAATCAAAACTATTAAGAGCATAATTTGCATTATCTCTTTAAGTACATTGTAATTTAATGTTCTATCCTCAGAAATGGAATGAAGTGATGCAACTTTTTTGCGGCTTTTGCCTACATTTTCTACAAACAGCAGGAGTCTTTTAATGGCCAGATTTAGATTAAATACACTGAAATCTTTTTCGGAAAAGTGCTTATAAATTTTTACCGAAAACGTAAATAGTTTTCTCTAAACAAGCACAATTTTAAACAATTTTTAGTAAGTTTAAAATTAATATTATCTCTGTTTTAAAAATTTTAGTTATATTTTATAGAAATTTGCGTATGTGTTCTTAATTTTGGTTCGCAAAGAAACAAGATTAAAGTGTAGAGGCCAAAAATTAAACTTAAGAATGAATCATTTGTTGCCTGTGCTGACTAACTTTGTGTGTGTAATCATTTTATAATGTTCTTTTGAGATGTGAGTGTTAAAAAACTAACATGAATGCTAAATTTCCTTTCAAAAATATTGCATAATAGGCTTTTTATGCTATTTTTGGGATCAACTAATATAGTTAGATTCTAATAAGACAGTTTCAAACAAATGTAAGAAGTCTATAATGATATTTTGAAACGTGAATATTAAAAATCAGCATGAATGCTGTATACCCTTTCAAGATATTTCATAAGAGGCTATTTTATCCTACTCTTAGGATCGACAAAAACAGTTTTTAGATGTTTCCGAATGTTTTTAAATGTTAAATACATTTTTACTATAGAATTTAAAGTCTATATCATTTTTTCCCGTGCGTTTTCTTTGCGTTTTGTTTGTTATATCACCCCCCGGGGGGATAAAACGAATTGTGAGTTCTGTGGGAAGGGTGTTGAGACGCACGGGTGAACCTGGCACCTCGCAGGAGGCATATTCTCATTTATTAATGCGTCGTCACTGCTGCTCCCGGCTGCCCCCCGCAATCCTGCGGTGGAGTGGGCGGCTTGGGTGGATGGTTTTTTGCCAAACGGTGGTGGCCGGTGTCTCAGCCACACTTAATTCCCGCCAGAATTGCCGGGGCCATTAAAGGATAAAAAGCGGGATTTCTGATTGGGAAGTGGTGACCCTTCTGGCCGGGCGTCATCTGCATCTGCCTAATCCGATCGTGGTGGGCCCACTGTGCACGGAAGAAGCGTAAATATTGATTTTTCTCACATGTCTCCGGCAAAGAATCTCGTCTAGGTATGAATATGAACCCCCTTCGCCGGAATAACTCCCAACCCCTCCCCCCGCAGACGATTTCGAGCACCTGGCAGCGATTTTGAAGTCTTCGCAGCTCGTAAATGCTGCACTGCATCCATAAAATGCAGACATGGACACACAAGCACACAGAAACACACACAGAATGACTCGCATGAGTTGCATTTGTTTATGCGATGGAAAATGGAAACCGGAGTCTGTTGTATGTAATATTTGGTATTTGGGTGCTTTTGGAGCGGAGAAATGCCCTGATATTACTCACTCGCCATGTTTGCCGCCTTTGTTGATTATTCCGCTGCTGCTTCTTCCGTTTCTCGGTTTCTCTATTTGTTCTGCGTCGCGTTTTCAGGCACGTTTTATCACTGGTTAACTGGTTAACACTGCTGATGGGCTAATAACTGCTGCTCGCAAGAACTGAACACATTTCACGGCTTTTCTTTCCAGTCGCGTCTCCGTACAACTTCCGTAATATCCGTTTTTCCGTCTTTTCCGTATTTTCCGATTCGCGTCCGCACGTTCACCCGCTACAACTAGTGTGACCGCGTCGATGGCGATGGCAAATACCTCCCGGCCTGAAAAGAAATACCACTATATACCATTTCTGTTTATAAATACTATCTAAGTACTAGGATACTTAACCACTGCTTATTTTTCTAATAAAATAAATATAAATTTAAAAATAATTCACAGTTTAATATTGATGAACTGTTTTAGCTGAAAACAATGGTTGTCTATATATTTTATTTTAAAATTAACTGCATTAAATGCATAGAGCATTAATTAAGTCTAATTAGGACGTATATTTTAGAGTTTTAAATTATTTAATTTCTTTCATGTATTCAAACTATCATTATGAGTTATGCCGATTAAAAAAAATAATTATCATTATTTTGATGGAGTTATCGGATGCAAAGATGTAGAATAGAAAAACCATAATTATTTACTAAACTTTATTTTATATGCATATGATTAATAAATACCACAACACATGGTATAAAATCTAGCTGTTTTATAGCTGCAGCTGGCTGCACTTTATTGTCGATAGGTGGCAACGCTGGTCGGAACATCCCAACAAATTGTTTACCACAAAAAACCGTGCTGAAATTTACAAAAAAGCCAAACGCAGCACGCCGCCGAGCCTTTGCAGTGATCCCCACGACGCCCGTCAAGACCCAGAGTTACCCGGAGCGGTGTCCAACTGATTTCCCCGCCCGTCGCCAGAAGCACATCATTCCACCTTTGGGGAGCCCCTCGGCCGAACAGTCGCGATTGCCCGGCCGTCCACAAACGCTTATAAAATTGGCAAGATAACTAAGCATAGCACAAAGATGCCGCCAGCATCAGCGGTGAACAACAGCAACGCGGCCGCCCAGGCGGCGAAGGCCGAGCGGGCGGAGAAGCTGCGAGGAGCCCTGAAGGGCTTCATCGTGGCGGACCGTCAGAGGCGCCAGGAGGAGTTCGAGACACAGTGCGAGGAACAGCGATTGCGCAGGGAGCGCGAGGAGGTGGAGCGCCAAAACCAGGCGGCCCTGGACGACACACGAGGCCAGATCACACGGCTGGACGAGCAGCTGGCCGATCTGCACAGTCAGAAGCACCAGCTCACCGTCCAGCTGAAGAAGGTTCTCAACGAGGATGAAACACGGAAGAAGATGGCCAAGGAGAACGAGCTGTTCGCCATCCAGCAGGCGGCGGTCAGTGCGGCGAGTGGCCCGGTCTTCCTGCCGCCCCTTCGCCTCCAACACCAGCACCATCCGCTGATGCAAAAGGTCTGTTATGCGCCGTTTTGGGTTTCCGCTTCTAATCCACCACTTCTCTTCCGAAATCCAGCCCCCACCCGGCGGACAGTCGGGGAAACGTGGCAGGAGTCCCTCGCCACCGAGTCAGCAGCAGGCCTACTACAAGAGCGCCGCCAGCTACGCCCAGCAGAGTAAGCCAGGAGGAGGTCGACGATGTGGCCCGAGGGCCACCAGTACAGTGAACGCTGCCAAAGGCACACAGTCAAAAATACCATACAGAAATACTCACTTTCTGTTGGATTTCTTTAACTTTTATGTTGGCAACTATTAGAAATCTTGTTAATTTATACTTTCTTATCCTGAAACTATTTGTTTTTCAAACACCACACTCAAAAGTCCCATTCTGGACCCCTATAATCGATCATGTTCTTGGATTTTTATCCATAAACTCTGGAGTTAAGTAATCATCAGTGATTAAATCTAATATGTGGATATAATGTTAGATAGTAAACGTTTATCATACTTCGATTAGCGTGCTTATCTCATGTGCTCACGTGCTCATCAATCGCGGAAAATAAGTTTTTTCCAAATAACTGAAGTTTATTACTCTTATTTTGTTAATTTCAATTCTGTTCAGTCTTTTACATTTGAATGTTATAATTAAAGGTGTTTTTTATGAAGAAAATTGTTCCTATTAGATCATTTTGATTAGCTTGAATTATAATAGTTGTTTTGTTAATATAATTGCTTTTAAGTTATTGAAATCCAACTGTCAACAATCACTACTTTAACAATTTACAATTATATACATCACCGGTTGATCTGCTCTGCGGAGCTTTCACTGTACTTGATTAACTGCCCGCTAACACCCCGTCCCGCTCATGAGAAACTCATTTGACTGCGCACACTAATCGCTAACAACACAGGCACACAACTTATGTTCATTTCGTTATTTGTTTACGATCGATTCGCAGAACACGATGACTACCGTCGTGCCGCGGACTATGCTAGATTATCATGGAACAGTAAGCACCTCACTCGCAATACCAAGCCCGAGATCCTTCGCCGGACAGATCGCAGCCAAGACTCCCCAATGAACCCCCGCTTTCCCTCTCTTCCAGAGACCACGGCGCAGTATCCGGGCACGGGAACGGTCTTCTACCAGACCACCGCCCCTCCGCCGACGACGCAGCACTCTATCTACAACTACAACCTTCCCTTACGCCAGGCCTACCATGTGGATCTGCCCAGCGCCACGGTCAGCAAGCCACCAGACTCACAGTCCCCCAAGGCTCCGCCCCAAGCGCAGCCGATGCAAGTGCTCCACATCAACCTCGACCAGCCTGCCATTTCGCAGGCTGACTTGGTGGCCCAGTCCGGCGGCAGCATCTCGGTGAAGGCCGCCCAGCCGCAGGTGACCATGGAGAAGCTGCCCGACCGCTACCACATCGAGGTGAAGCACGACGGACAGCCGCCGAGCCACATCCCACCACCACCGCATCTGCTGTCGGAGGGCGTTATCTTCAAGCCGCTGCTCAGCGAACTTTCCATGCACACCAACGTGTTGCAGATAAGCAGCAGCCAGGTGGGTCTCTTAAGTAGGGGTGGTCAGTAGGAAATAATTTACATTCGGGGATGACTGAGGTATCTTAAACACTTACTGACTGACATCTGATCAGTTTCCTCCACAGAATCCCAAGACGGCGGGAAGCATCACACAGGGCTATGCCCCTGGTCGAGGGGGATCCGCTCACGAACAGCAGCTGGCTCGGCAACAGTTGGCGATGCTGCCTGGACAGCCGGGAGCCCCGACCGGATCCGTTTCCGGGTCCGCTCAGCCTCCTCCTGGCCAGCAGATGCACTACACGCGACGATTGTACTAGCCCCGGCTGAGGGTTTAGCCCTGTTGGCGCTACGGAACTCACTCACTGATATACTTACGATTTTAAATGGACATTATACTGACTACGCTTCCCTCGTGGAGTCGCATACACGAAATAAAACACACAACTATGGCGTCCCTATTTTCCAATCGATAATTCAATACTGAGATTTCATATTGACTGGTGTTCATGGGTTGGCATAATCTGTGGTAAGGTTGGTATAGTAAAAAAAAAAGTAGAGAATCGATTTCAATTTACAACACATCAATGGAATATTAGCCACAACCGTATGGGGGTTAGGTCCTATTCTATGCGAGAAGATCGATATAATCGAAAAAACATTAGCAACACGGAAGCTCTTGATGAATAGAATAGGTAAAAAGTTATTACAATTTATGAACCGTTTGTTGTCTTGCCTTTATCTTTGCTTGCTTCAAAGGTTTTCTGTAAAATATGCTGTTATTGACCTTTTAAAAGACTACTATAGTAAAATTTCCATGCTAACGTTCACCGAAGCCTACATGATATTAGATATAATTAATTCCACTTGGAATTAATTTCTCAAAGCGGAAAAAAGTAGTGGTTAGCTCAGTACTTTTTTATATAAATTTCTTCTTACTAGGGTCTGAACATGTTTGTTTACGTGAAATGAATTTAAAACTTTTTGTTTGGTCAGCTGCAAAACATCTTTTACACGCAGAATAAAAGTCTTTAAAATTTATAAGCATTCTGTGACTCAGAGCATTTTTTAAATCGGTATTTATTCTTCAGTGTTGTGTCTTGAAGCATTTTCATTACTTTTTAAATAATTTTGAAAATGTAATGCTAATTAATTAATTACTTTTGACAGAGTAATGCTAATGAAAAAGAAAATCATTACTTTTTGAAAATTTAATGCCAATGAAAAATCAATTCATTACTTTTTCAAAATTTTATGCCATAATTCATTACTTTAAAATAAGTAATTCTAATAGATTATCATTGCAATACTTTTTTAAAACATAATGATAATGGCAAATCATTGCATTACATTTAAAAAGAAATAATGCCAATGAAAAAAAACTCATTACTTTCGAATTTAATAAAAAAAATTAACTTTTGGCAAAACTAATGTTAGTGGTAAAATATTTCATTATAAATGAAAAGTATAATTCTAATCACTATTTTCTATTACAACTTAAATTGGAAATGCAAAATTGTATAATGAAATAGAATATTAATTGAACCTAGTTTGGGGGTCAATTAAATCTAAAGCTATGACCATTTTAATCCAATCCAATTTATATAAAATTGGTACCGCACATATTCATATATATTTGAAAAAACCAATTTTAAGTACTAATAACTAAATAATTTAATTACTAACTAATTAATTAAATTCGAGTATTCCAATTTAATTTTTTAAATTTTGTTGCTGAAAATAATAGTAAACAGAAGAATTCGTACTTACACCCAAAAAAAAAATCGCCCTTAAATCAAGAAATTCGCCTTTAAATCAAGAAAATCGCCTATGATTTTCATCCAACGGCTACTCACCTTTATTTTAAATAAATAATTTTCTTGAATTTATGGTTTGCCATTTCTGGAAATAATGACAAATTTTTCTTAAATGTATGGTAAAAAACCTTAAAATTAAGGAAAAATTTATTAAAATAAGAAAAAAAATATTTATGATGTAAGATTACATCATTTTACATTTTACACCTTTCATTTGAGGAATTTGGTTGGTTTTGTATACCAATGTTGAATTTTAA